GGCTGTCAGTTTGGGTTCAGTTCGTGTTGTGTTGTTCTGTTCTGTGACTTTTTAACCTAATGAATAATAAATTGGCCCAATTGTCACGCAAAAACAATGCCGCGGAATAGATGGATAAGGGTTTTGGGCATGCCCAGAGACGATGATGTCAGGTCTGTGAAGTTTCCTTCTCCAAATTGTAGACACATTTTCCATTCCAATCCATTCCCAGCCCATGTTTCGCTGTTTCTTTCGGCTGAAGTGTCGCCTTCGATGGATTTTGGCATTTGTTACGGAACTTGCACTCACCTGGGAAATCGTGGCAGGCATCTTGCAATGATTAGCACTTGCTCCACCTTTCCGTTTTGGTGGCGTGGCGCCCACTTGCAAGTCAAAAAGTAATTAGCATATTGAAATGTTGCAAAGCCTCTCATCCGGAACCAGAACAACTCCATGAATAATTTAGTCAGCATATTTGATGCACTTCGGTTGCAATCGTTGCACTTGCCAGTTCTTTGCAATGTTACATGTTGCCCGTGTGCTGGCTTCAATATTTAATTACGAAAAATCTCCAGGCCGCGAAGGGGTTAAGTGGGGCTGTACTATGACTATCCCTCGGCTATCTCGGCCCTCGGCCTCTTAAAAGCGTGTCAACAGCTTGTCAATCACAATTTGCCAAATAAAATGTAAGTGTCAGCTCATGGATATTTAGTTTGCGAATGTGTTGATTGTGTTTTAGTTGCGGCTGTTTTGAAATAATTGAAGAGCGGTGGGGCTAAGTATATTGACGGGGGATATTCTCTCAGGATCTGTCATCTCAATATTTAAATTCTCTAGGAAAGAGCTTAAACCTATCAAAGTATTTTTATCATACCCACAAAACAAAGGAAGAAATAAGCATTTTAGATCCTAACAACTAGTACTATTCTCTACGAGGAAATAAAATTATAACCGATTGGGCCATCTTAATAATATATCACATAAAATGCAAATAGTCCCGGAAATCCTCATTTTTAGGACAGAGAAATTCTTGTTCTTAAACATTTCAGTGTTATTATTTTATATGAATATTTGTCTAAGACATTCAAATTAAACCAATTTTTGTATTCCGAGTTCCAATTCAATTTGATTTTTAAGTCCATTTTTTATACTTTCTACATTCCAACGTCTCTATTCACCAAAACCATTCAAATAATGGTTTTAGGTATAATATTTATTATAATAATAAAAAATATAAAATTCGCTATCCTAGTGAACACAAACCTTTTGTAAAATTTAAAAGTGACTCGTCAATATAACCAAATTAAACCAAATTCAAAAAATTATTTACATTTTTGTATTCCGAGTTCCGAGGTCCCTATGCACACAAAATCATTAAAATAATAGTTTCAAATATAATGTATATAGGAATTATATAATATATAAAATGCATTATCCTAATAAACACAAACCTTTTGTAAAATTTAAAAGTAAATCGTCAATATTACCAATTTAAACCAGTATTTAAATTTAACTAACCATTTAATTTCTTTTATTTCGAGTTCCACTTTAATTTGATTTTTAATCCCGTCCTTTTTATACATTCCAACGCCTACATGCACCCAAAATCATTAAGATAATGTTCCAGATATAATATTAATAAGAAAAATATAAAATACAAAACTCTTTATTCTTATGAACACCAAAACACTTAAAAATGTATCGTCAATATTACCAATTTGCACCTGCTAAATCCTTTGCATTTTTCGCAAAATGCCGAACCGTATTATATTTACCAGCTCCAATAGGATGAAGTTTCACACGATATCCGTTCCCTACTGGCAAAATAATCTAATGCAGTTATAATTTTTGCTTTAGCAACTGTCATAATCCTTTTCTCGCCCCAAAACTCTTTCATATATCGGTCAATCTGCACTCAAATGGCCTAAGTGAAATCCACTTAAACAATTAAAAACTGCTTAAATTACTGGGAATAAATGAAACCATTTTGGAGGCGGTCCATCCAAAAAATACAATAAACTATAAGTACAAATCCAAATTTAATATAATTTACGCCTGCGCAACAGGGAATAGTGTTGTTCAGGACAACAAAAACCAGAGTCAGGACGCTCATTGGTCGCCTGAAAACAGGAAGCCGAGCGAATGCCGAGCTGCTGTCGTTAGCATAACACGCATACGCCGCATAGGCCCAAAGGATAAAAGCCGCCAACGACGAGGGATGTTGCTTCCTTGTTGGCTCCGCTCGGCTCGCGAAGGCAGAACTCCATGTCGTTCGTGTCGCCTGGCAACTTGTGCCAGGATCACAAGGATACAACGTCAGCGCCTGGACAACCGTATTGCAGTTCCGGTGCGGCTCTCACACCGTGCAGACGTGTTGCTCTGCCTAGAATTCCCCAACCAACTTGTGCATTGTGAATCCCAAAATTGTGTTAACCTTTTGGCTAAGTTTCGGTTTATATAAGAGCTCCTCAACGGACACTTATATAATTTTGATTGTTGCTCAGAAAGCCCTTTCATATATCAGTTGGCTTTCGAGCAATAATTGAAACCAAATAAGTGATCCTGACAACGTTTATTATTCCATTGGTCTCGAGATGGTAAGTACCCTTTGTTTTATATAAGGTAGAATACTAAAGTAAAATATTAAGATTTAACATTTATGAATCAAATGATTTCTCATCTCTCAATCCAAAAATAACGTTTAAAATGTATTTATATCGATACTAGGTAAAATAGGCTAATTTTTATGAGGCGTGACGGATGCAATGATTTAAAAACCAATTTCATTTTATACTTTAGGTTTTGTAATATATATTTTTTATAAAAATAAAAATTAAGGATAGCTTTACTCAGACGATTTTAATATTTATATTACCATTGCTAAGCAATCGAATTTAAATATTTAAATATATTATTCATTAATAGGTATTAACTATTTATAAAGAGTGATGATTTTTTTGTTTAGAACTTATTTGTAACGTATTCATAATAAGAACGTGTTCATAATTATTTGAAGGATACCGAAACGCATTTGCGAGAGAAATTTATTAATGATAACCAAAATTAAGTTGTTAAACAGGTTTGTCGTTCAAAGATATTTTTCAATCTCAATATCAATCTGATTAAAAATAAAATAAATAACGATTTGCTCAGTGGAAAGCTTATTTCCTAGATAGATCAACACAGGAATTTAATGGGTTCACTGCGCCCCAAAACATTTCCTATGGCTCCAAACTAGCCCGCATTAGCGACAACCAAAGACTTCCCCCTTGCAATTAGTCACCAAAGAGGGGCGTCGTTGAACTCCATCGAAATGAAAACAAAAGTGTAGCAAAAACAATTGTCAAACAGAGTACCACGAATCGAAGCGACCTTCACATTGAATGCGCCTAAGTTTCGCCCAAAAGCGGGTGTCAATGCACTTGAAACTTGTTTCTGGGGAGCCCAGCCAGTCGTGTTTGTTATTATTATTTATATTTGGTATGGCCTGTCACGGCAGACAATGGATAGTGTTTTTATGGGTGATTTGTTTTGTGAATTAGCATTTAGTGCGAAACTGAATAGCAGCGAACTGCCGCGATCAATGAACTCGGATGGGATGGTAGCTGGTTTATGGTTAAGGAACCAAAGTCAAGAAATCAATTAGTATTCAAGCGTATTTGCGTGATCTACTGAACTGATTTGTCTGCTCTGAGTGAGAATCGAGATCTAGATAATGAATTATGTATGGCTTTGTGTTGAGATTTGTCAACTTTTTTCGTCTTAACTTTCAGTTTCAATTCCTGATTGTTACTTCAATTCCTGATTTATCTGACTTTATTATTATAAAAGTGTCAGAGAATTACACTTCCACCTGCATTTAATGCTAAGATAAATTAGCTATTCAAATCGACCTCATCATCACGCCAATTGCATTGGGTGTGGGCCACGATTGCGTTAATTTTAAGGGCAATGTTAATGTCAAAGCGGTAATATTACATTGATTGTTCCGACATTGAATTTCAATTAAAATTGGGCCCCATCACAATATCATATGCAACGCAGACTCTTCATTTGCATAATAGACCCGATGATTACCAAGTCCAAGCTGATGGAAATATGACGTCTAAGGTTATCTACAATGTGAGAACTTAATTATGCCAAATGTAGGCAATGACAAAACTGTAACGATTAACGAAGGTCTAGGAAATTTAATGGTTGAGTAAATATTATATCGAACAAGCCTTTTATTAAATTACACATTAAAAAGTATCCATTTTCTAGTTTCAAAACCACAAGGCATATTTCTTTTGAATATTTTAAAAGTATAAGGAGTATGATATGTAATCAGATATAAACAAAAAGGAGCAATCATTATGCAATGTCATGTCATACGATTAACAAGTGATTTAACGATTAAATTGAACGTATCAATATTTTCTCCGTATGCAACCATCTCAATAACACCTTAAGTACGTGTTAATCGCATAAATAATATACCAAAATAAGGATGGTGGGGCAATAAACTGAGCTCCGCCGCCCTATAGAGGTGGCAACGAAAATCAAGCATAAATATTGTCACACCTTTTGTCGTACACTATTCAATGTCATGAACTTCGTTGGGTCATAAAACGCAAAACATACACAACTTTATTTTCGGCTATTGTTTACCTTTCGGTTTTGTTTCCATTTTTTGGCAGCTCCTTAATTCCCCCCGCCAATTGAAATGCCAAAACGTGTGCACATGGCACCCACACAAAACGATGGGACAGGTAGTGCAGCGTGGAAAAAAGCTCGGAGCTTCAGGCAACAGGTGCTAAATGCCCGACTTCCGTTTGTTATCAGGCCAAGAGAGCGACGCTGAGAGGGCCCACAGAGCTTTCCGGTTAATCCGCATAGAACTCCGGACGAAAATAAAATAAGTCAGTGGAACAGAGCCGACGCTAACACCTATATATAAATTAATTGGCGCACAGAATTTTTGTGGCAGTTGCGTTTAAGCTTGAACCGTGCTTAACGGGTTTTTGGTGCTCAGAACTCTGGTTGTGTACACAGAAAATGTCAAAATTCGTATTCGTAATCGCGATCCTGTCGCTAGTGAAATGTGGACAGTCCCAAATTGCTTGTGAGTTGACGAATGCAACAAAATATATCTCATGGTTAAATGTTATTAATCAATTTGTGATCTTAAAAGTAAAGTATGATGCTCATGGACCCTAATGTCCATTTAAAAGTTTTTTTTTTCCAATTGCACTTCATTCACCAAGAAAATGTAAAGAGGTTTTAATGTAAAAGTCTAATCTTTAAGATTCAATTATAAAATTGCGTTGCCTCTCATGATCACAAACATCCCATGTAATATATAATAATAGAACTTACCCGAATTATTATTCCACTGACTCCCATGATAGTTACCAACCAGCCCTGCTCGGTTCGGAATCCCAAAATAGTGGGTGGCAGCGAGGCGGAGCGCAACGAAATGCCCTATATGGTTAGTTTAATGCGTCGCGGTGGTCACTTCTGTGGCGGCACGATTATCTCCGAGCGATGGATCCTCACGGCGGGACATTGCATCTGCAATGGCCTGCAGCAGTTTATGAAACCCGCTCAAATCCAAGGAGCTGTGGGTCTGCACAGCATCAGAGAGTATCTCAACGGGATTGGCAACGGTCCGGATGCACTGAGGGTGGACTTCAAGAACATTGTGCCCCATCCGCAGTACGACTGCAATGATGTAAAGCATGATATAGGTATCTATGTGTTTTATAACATTTTATAAATAGTGGTTTGAATATTCAAACATATTTTAATTCTGCACTGTATAATTTTATACTGAAACGTATTTGAGCTTTAGAATAATGTTCAATACATTTGGTATAAATTAATACTATAAATGTAATTCAAGTTGGACTAAACAGTAATAGAACTAAAGTAAAAAAAAGGTAAAAATTGGGTTTTTTGGTTGAAATGCTCTAAATAAATTTCTTATTTTGGAGAGTACACTAAAAATGTTAAGATTCTTTGTGTGTTTTTAGCATACATTAGCATGTGAAATAACAACTTTCCAGAAAGTTATTAAAGTTGGTCTTATCTTAAGTTAAATAATTTTTATAAAAGAATTTTTTCCTTACAAACATATTAGTATTTTTTATGAAAACATAATATCATATTCTAGGCGGATATTGTAAACACTCCAATATTTTTCAATTTTAATTTAAAATTTTTAAAATACCGGTAATCATTTTTTTTTAAACTAATTGAAGTAACGAACCACTGTACCCTTACGCATTTTAAAGTTGGTAAAAAGTTTTTTTTTACAGCCCTGATGGAAATGGTCCAGCCGATCCGATTCACCGCCCACATCCAGCCCAGCTGCGTGGGATCCGAGAAGGACACCGAAGTTTGGAGCAGGAGTACGGGACCGTTTCCGGTTGGGGCTGGACGCACGAGAACCAAGCGGAGAACGACCGATCGGACGTCCTGCGCAAAGCCACCGTTAAGATCTGGAACAACGAGGTGTGCGAGAGGTCCTACAGGTCCCTGGGAAAAAGTAACACTATTGGAGAGACGCAATTGTGCGCGGGCTATGAAAACGGTCAAATTGATTCGTGTTGGGTGAGTATTCAGTTGGCTGATACAGCACAAATGTTATGCTCTGGGTTTACTTACCTTCACAGGCGGACTCCGGCGGCCCACTGATGTCCAAGGAGCATCACCTGGTGGGCGTAGTGTCCACTGGAATAGGCTGCGCTCGTCCTGGTTTGCCCGGAATCTATACGCGCGTCAGTAAATACGTGTCTTGGATGCAGAATGTGATAGGAGGCAGGAAATAATTGGCCAGGAATCTGGAGCCAAATGATTGTGATTCACCTGTGATATTAGTCGTACTATATAATGTGATTTTGTCAATAAAAGTTTCTTTAACCGATTTGCGCCATTTTTAAGCGCCGTACGCCATTTTAAAACACTACGGTACTTAAGAAATTTTGGTATTTAGGAGGGACGTATATCGTAAACTCAGTAACGCCAATTAGCTTATCAACAATAAAATACCGTTATGCACAAAAAATCTAACAAGTTCCCTGAATCTTTAGTAACATTAAAAGGTTAAAATTTAATTTTATAAGTATATCGACTACCCCCATGGTATTTTTCGTTCTTTAGCTCTTGGTCATCTTGTTATATTGATATATATCGATAACACAAATCGTCGATGTTTCTAAAACTTTAAAAACATCGATGCATCGATATTTCCATCGGTGTTTCTCCACCTCTATAATGCAAAAACAAAACAAAATATACGTATATGGAAATGGATTCTGAACTTACAAAGTAAATATTTCTAGTTAAAACAAATTATAAGTTTAGTTAAGTATTGTTTTTCCATTAGCCAGGCCATTGCCGAGCTGATGCGCGAGATCGAAGGCCAGAATTCCAGTTTCAGCATCCACAAACAAAGCGAGCGCAAAGTAAACCCATTGGGAAAACCAAACAAGCGCTTTTTAAAAACCACAATAAATACGGTGATCCAGCATAATAAAAGAACAAACGAGCGCACGCAGGCCAACTGCCGTCAAAAACTCCAGGATCTGGATGACGTCTATGAAAGGAGGAAGTCCAACTATTTCTACAACCGCGATGCAGGGAGAAATCGAAGTGTGGACAGGAGCAGGAGCAGAAGTTCCAGCAGGAGCCGCAGCAGGAGTCGGCCCAGGAGTCGCCCCAAAAAGGCCAAAAAACGTCGCAGTAGGAGGAGAAGCAGGAGCAGCAGAAGTTCCAGCCGAAGTCGCAGTCGTTCGCATCGCAGGAAGAAGCACAAAAAGAAGGTCAAGAAGCACAAAAAGTCTAAGCGAAGTCGCCCGAGAAGTCGCAGCAGCAGTTGGGATCGGGAAATGCCGCCCAGCGATTCTACACCCATAGCCCAACCTTCGGAAATATTTTTCAACCACTCCAAGAACATGGCTTTGGCCGTGGCCATGGCCTATAGTCACTTATTGAATGGGAATGGACAACATATAGCCAAAGACTCCGAGGAAAGACCATCTTCTCCTCTGTGTGACATCGACATAGTCCGCGAACTAATGTCCGATGAAGAACCTGACAATTCCGGGGAGCCCGATGCCCTGTCCATTTCATCCGGCGACGAAGTGGAGAACGTTCTTACCATCAAAGTAAGCTCGAATTCCGAGTCCTCAAGCTCGGATACTGACTCCGATTCCAAGCACAGCGCTGGCAGCTGTATAACCCTAGAAGAATCGGAATCTGATAACAATAGTGATATAGAAATAATAGAGTGCCATAAAGAGGCGAAAAGGTCAACTGAACCTGCGCCTCAACCTGAACCTGAATCGAAAAACGAAAAGCAACAGGCGGATGAAAGTGCCGACCTCACCACCGTGGACCTGACTGAAGATTAATTAGGATTAAGTTTAGTTAGAAAACTTTAATCGCCGTTGACCAACATCACAGAGAATTTATAAACCAAGGAACACCAAAAAATTATATTTTTCTGGTCTTGAAAGTGTTTTTGGTAGTTCTAGGTACTGAGACCTAACATAAGATGCTTATCAGAAGTATTTCATTTAATGTTGAAAATTAAGCCTGGAGATTAACATTGGAAGTTGTAATGAGTTATTTTATCAACAGCAGATTATGTTCTAGGAATATTAATTGACTACACTTCTTAATATTAAAACTTGAATGAAATTAAATTTATATTTTATGAATACCCACCGAAGTAGCCGAAGTTGCTTACGGTGTTAATTTCCGCTAAATTCGGTTTATTATTTTTAAATTGTTCAAAAAACTTTAAATAAAAACGCATGTATTTGAATTTTAAAAAAAAAATTTTACTTACAAATTTGTTTCTTAAAAAAACGATTTTTAAAATTATCTTCACATTATTCAATAAAATCAAAAATGGCATTTGTCAGCATTGGTCAACGAACTATACATATTCTAGCGATATGCCCCAAGTGTAGGGTATCAAACTGTTGCTCTCTCTAACCGATTTCTCCCACTCTCTCTGGCCACCTGCCAAAACAGCTGATTCTTTATTTACCAATTAATTTTCGATGGAAAACGCCAGCAAGGGAGACAATTAGAAATTTTTTAAATAAATACAGATCAGTGGCCGCAAAATGTTTGGGAGCCTAAAAAAGAAGCTGAGCAGTGCGATTCAGGAGGGCCTGGTGATATCGGAGAATCTGCAGCAACAATATCGCCAGCGTGTCAGTTCCGGAAACTCGGGGAGCACCCAGACCAGTGGACTTACGACTCCCACATCGCCACTGGGGCTCAACGAGAGTCTGTCCTCCAGCAGGAGCAGTAGCCTCTCCCTAAGTGCTCCCTTCCAGCTGACCGACGGTGTACCTAGCCATCTGAACGTGGCAGCGGGCTGCAGTTTGTTGGCCAAGTACGAGGACGACTGGCAACAGATCCATGGGGCTAACGAGGAGAATGCGGAGAAGGCCGCGCAGATTGCCTCCCAAATCTCCGGAGTTCAGAACAAGGCCAGCAATCAGCGCAGGATCATCAGTGAGCTGAACAGCAGTCTGGCGGGAATTCCCACGCTGAATGCCCAACTGCAAGCTAGCTCAAAGGTCCTTAACGCCCTGGAACAAATGGGCCAGCAACTGGAGGTTGAGCTGGAGAAACTGGAGGATCTGTGCGAAGAGTGCGAGCTCCAGGAGTTTATCCTCGAGCAGCAGTTCCAGCTGTCGCGACACAAGCAGAGGAAGCTCAACGAACTGGAGCAGTATCGCCAGCAAATAGCCTCCAAGCATCAATCCAAAATCAATGATCAGGAGCAGAAGCTATTGAAACTGCAGAGGGAACGGCAAGCTGTCTTTGACGATGCATTCCGCGGCGACATGGAGGAGTACAAACAGCACGGCCAGCTGACCAGTAAATTTAAATCTAAATTCATTAAATAACTGAAATAACACCTCTCCCTTTTAGAAATTCAAACCACCAGCAACAAGTTGGCTTTGGAGGAAGTGGTCCTTGAGGCAAACGAAGTGGAGACAAAGGATGCTCTGGAGCAATTTTTGAATGGATAATTTACGTACACCCCGCAAAAGACTCACTTTTGTGCCTTTCAGTGCAATAAGCAGTGTAAATTGTTGAAATATTCTATAGGGGATTCCAGATGTAAGCCTGCGTTTGCCAATACCAAAATATTTGATACTGCTTTTGATATTTGAAAAGTCGTAGCTACATCTTAGAAACAGAACCTATACAAAGGGTTTTTAGTTTGAAATATTAAGTTTCAGTGCCAAACTGATTTGTATATTATAATTCGAAAAAATTCTCTTTTGCCAAAAATTAGCTGAAAGTATCAGCAAAACCTGCAGGACAAAACATGTTTTGAGAAACAAACGCAAAATCAAAACGAATCTTCAGGAATCCCCCATATATTTACAATTTACAAAATTAGTTGATGTGGCAACGACACTGGGTGTTTTGACAGCATTTCAAATAAGCGTTGTTTTTATTATATTAATTGTATTTCGATTGTACACACCTAAGTACCTTCAGATGCCTTGTATTTTATATGAATATAGAAAATATTAAAAGAGACGAACATGTTTATGATTACGCGATGGTAATTGCACAGCGTGGCAACTCTGTCGTCGAAAACAGCTGATTGCCAATTAGTGATTAAAGAAGTGACTAAAATAAGAGATAATTCCCCGCAGCTTACACCTGTCGCAGCTTTCATTGCGCCCCGCATTGCCCCCCAAGTTTCCGTACCCTTTCCTGGACTTCGAGCTTATGGGCGCAGTTGGATCCGCTCTGAGATCCCCATTAGTCGACATGTCTACCAAGCAAGCGAAATTCGTTGAAAACACGATTGCCAGCAATAAAGTGGTGATATTTAGCAAGACCTATTGCCCTACTGCACTATGGCGAAAGAAGTAAGTGACGAGACCTTCAGCAGGGTCGAAACGAAATTAAATCATTCCTTTCCAGCCCTTCAAAAAGCTCAACGTGGAGGCCACCGTAATAGAACTCGATGGAAATCCCGATGGGAACGAGATTCAGGCGGTTCTGGGCGAAATCACAGGGGCCAGAACGGTGGGTATACCAATTCACTGCTATATAAACATTGCATTATATCTTTCTTATCTTTAGGTTCCCCGCGTCTTTATCGATGGCAAATTCATCGGCGGCGGCACAGACATCAAACGAATGTTCGAAACGGGCGCTCTGCAGAAATATTTCCAGTAAAAATCCGATCGTGCAATATCCTAAACTCTGTGCAAAGTCTTATTCATTTTTAAAAGTTGTAGCACGTTGTACTAGTTAATGTTCAAAGTCTTAAATACATTCTTTTAAATAATGTCTGCTTGTAAACATATGAATTTGTTAACGTATTATTTGTATGGGTCATTTTGAGACTAGGTCTTGACACTATTTGATAGTGCTGTTTAGGTCAGCTAAATTGATGTCAGTACACAGAACAGTAATCCTGTTCAAGCATATACATTATTGTGTCGCAAAATCTTCCTTTCACCGGTTAAATGTTAACAAACACAACATACTCCTTTACTCTGCAAGTAATGAGTATGACCCCTTTAACAGCGCCCATGTAAACAACTGTTGGATAGTGTCATCGATCTGGCAGCACCATAACAGAGCTGCCACTCCGTAAATAATAATTATTTACATTTCGCTTATAGTAATTAATTGCCTGAGTAATGTCTGATTTAGTGAGCGGAGAAGCCTCAGAATCGGATGAGGAACTGCAGGACAAGCACAAGGTTATTGGGAGTTCCCTACCAAAATGATCTTCTTTGCAATAACACTGGTTTATTGCAGATTTTCGCAGCTGAAGTACCGGGGGAAGCCTCCGAAGAAGATGATGAAGACATTTACGAACAACGAACCAGCAGCCAGGTGAACAACACAGCTTCCATCTACCGGAATAATCTCCTCCAGAGGAAACTTAGTAAATAAGCTAAAGCTAAGCCTTATCCCTCATCATCCTAACAACATAAACTCCCTTTCTAGTTGAAAACAACATTGCCATTTGGAGATCTCTCACTGCTTTCACCCGCAGCTTTGTACTGAATGCCTCCAAGCAGCTCGTCACCACTGACCAAATGCTCATCAAATCCCAGGTCAATCTGCAGTCCGCCCACACTTCTCTCCAACAGGCCCAGAAGAACGCTCAGGAACTGCAGTCCCGGGTAGCTGTCGTGATGACCAGCAGCTTCCTTCCGCACATTAACACCCAGAAAGCTAGCTGAGTTAAACTTGTACCGACTGTATTTGCTGATAAACGATCAAATCTAGGCTAATCCTCTGTATCGGAATTGGGCGCATATATCTGAGTATTCGGCGATGGCTCCCGCGGAACGTAGGTGCTCTGAAAGCATCGCGAGAAGATGGTTCGCATCTTGTTTGGCCGTTCCGGAGACTGGGGTATGGTTTCATCGTCCTCGGAAGACGTTTCCGGCGGTCTTCCTTCCTTCGAACTGTCCGTGTTGAAGAAGCAAACCTCCGTGCTGTTGGGCGGCGCTGGAGCAGGTGCCATGCTGGCCTCCAAAGCGGCATCTGCAGCTGCCAGCATAAGGGCCTCCTGCTCCGCCTCGTCTTCAATCAGCACCACAGTGTCCACCTCGGCTAGGATGCGAGGCTGTTGTACAGAAGGCGCCTCTGAGTGTCGGAACTGGAACAGAGGAGTTTCCAGGCTTGTTTCCAACTGGCTGTCTTCTAATCTCCGTTTCGGCTGCACTGCAGCCGTTTCCGAAGTGCTGCTCTTGCGCTTGCTGGTCACGTTTGGTCCAGGTGCACTGCTCTTTCGTTTTGATACCGTCTCTCGCACATCTGCATCCTGCACTGTCAAATCTCTTTGACAATAATCCTCCGAGAAGCTCACATCATCAGGCGACAGGGTTGACATGATCAGCAAGCACTCAATTTCGGCGTGCTTCTTAATTTTCAGCAGAAAAGGCATGCCCGCATCGTCGAACTCCAAGGTCAGAGAAGCATTCAAGCACTCGGCAAAAAGAAGAAAGGCTCGAAACTCCTTGATGCAAAAGGTGATGATCGTTTCCTTGGTCACCTGGTACTGGTCGAACTCACTGGGCTTCAGCTTCAGCTGCGTGCGCATGAATTTATCATTCACTCGGGCCCCTTCTATGTAGTTTTTGGCCACCACACTGCCCGAGTTGGCCTCTAGGGTAAGCTCCTCCTCTGATGAATTAAAGTTGTTGGAGATGTCCGTAAAAAGTTTGTGATCACCGCGGATCCTTAGGGGAAAGAGTGGATAATTTAGATTTAGAAGCAATTAATTTAATTTTAAAATGTTACGGATTTAAAAGGGGCGATCTATAACTACTATGGGCCATTTACGTGTTTTGTAAAGTAGAAAATTCGACGTTAAACCTACAAATTTGGCATCTGATCGGTGTTGATGTTTGTGTTGATATTTTGGTCATCTATAATGGATATGGTGGCCTCCTTTGTGGTCTCCAGTTTGCAGCGGAGATTCACCTGCAGGTTGGTCTGATTGTCCAGTATATTGAGTTCACAGTACTCCACCTGGAAGAATACTAATGATAACCAATCCCTATCTAGTAATCGTTCACCATACCTCGTTCATGTTGCGGAATACGGCCAAACATCCCTTCATAGATATCTTGCAGTAGAAATCCGAGTTCGGGGCGTCGAACACCTCGAACACGCTTCTTTTGAAGGAGATACTGCCCACGGCTGATTGAGTGGCGTTTATGGCCCGCATTTGCAGCGACTGCTGGTCAATCTCGATGAACATTTCCTTGCCCACCTTGGACAGCGATTGTACGGCTTTGGCAATAACTGAAAACATGAATTTAGTTAGTAAACAGTACGTTTTTCAGATGACCCGACCTAAAAAATAACATACCCCTTGCATTGCTGCCCTCCAAAGTGTATTTCATTGGCAATATTTGCGCTGAGTCCGGTCACGAAATTCGCGCTGAAATTTGTAAACAAACAAATTAGAGTGGCGTACTAATACAACACGGCTTTGAAAAATACTAAGAAAATACTGGTTTTTATTACTTCCTTATTTACTTAAAATAATTATGTCTTGCATTTTTTACTCCACTTACCAATCATAGGCTCTGTTTATGATGGGTTGAGTTATGGAGTTAGTTTACCCTCGTTTTTTACTTTGATCTTACATGGGCAAAAGTCGAGTCTTTGGTATTTTTTGGTATATTTCGTATTTTATTAGGAATCTGACGTATCTGTTGTGTAGGTACGAGTTATTTCTTGATAACAACTTTTATTTGCAGTTCCTATACAGTACAAATATTTTATAAAGAAAAAATCAAATTTAAGAATACCTTTGTGCCCTGCCAAACATCGATGATACCGGTCTTTCAAAACATCGATGACTTGGATGTTGGCATCGCTGTTTGTCCACCTCTACCGGTCGAATAATAACGCCACATCAGTTCTAAATTTAATTAATAAAAACTGGGCTAAAACCAGCTAAGAACTGGTGAAAAGTGAAATTACCTGGAGGGAAAAGCCCAGGGTTCTTATATTTCTTACTCGTCCGTAATGCGCGTGGTGGAAACACCGTAAAAACGAGTGGAAACAATGTTACGAGCCGTGGCTTTGTGTGTGTCTGTGGTGCTTCTAGCACTTTATACGCCGACTTCTGGGGAATCCAGTCAGAGCTATCCCATTACCACGCTGATCAATGCCAAGTGGACGCAGACACCCTTGTATCTGGAGATCGCCGAGTATCTGGCCGATGAGCAGGCGGGCCTCTTCTGGGACTACGTTTCGGGGGTGACCAAGCTGGACACGGCTCTGAATGAATACGGTTTGTGTGAATAAATAATGGGAAACCCGCATTATAAGGCCTCTTCTGTAAGGGAATGCATGTAAATGTAATTCTTTGATGTTGCACCTTACTATTAATCTTGTAAATAAACGAGTTTTTAAAATTTCATTTAAAAAAAAGAGTTAAAAATAATAAAACTAAAATTGATCAAATATTTATTATATGATAGCTTCAAACATTCAACGCTTTATTTGATTACTTCAAAAATCTTTACTTTCTTGAAACTCAAATACATGTTATAAGCCCTATGATGTGATTTTCTCCCCCAGAACCGAATCATTTATTGATTACTGTTTCTCTTTTCAGATACCGAGTCGCAGCAGTACAATGCCGCTGTGGAGCTGGTCAAGAGCCATGTGAGCTCGCCCCAGTTGCCGCTGCTCAAGTTGGTGGTCTCCATGCACAGCCTGACGCCCAGGATTCAGACCCACTTCCAATTGGCCGAGGAGTTGAGGAGCAGTGGCTCGTGTCAAGCCTTCACTTTTGCCCAGGTGGGTTCCGAACTGGCCTGCAGTTTCAACGAGCTGCAGAAGAAACTGGAACTGCCGGTGGCCAAGGAGAGTTTGGATGCCCCTGTTGTCACCTATAGCTTCGATCACATTTTTCCGGGCAGTGAGAACAATACCCGCACTGTGGTTTTGTACGGCGATTTGGGCAGCTCCCAGTTCCGCACCTACCACAAGCTACTGGAAAAGGAGGCCAACGCTGGCAGGATTCGTTACATCCTGCGTCATCAGTTAGCCAAGAAAGACAGGCGACCAGTACGTCTTTCGGGCTATGGAGTGGAACTTCATCTGAAGTCCACGGAATACAAGAGCCAGGATGATGCGCCCAAACCTGAAGCGGGTTCTACTGCCGATGAGGATATGGCTAATGAATCGGATGTCCAAGGATTCGACTTTAAAGTCCTGAAGCAGAAGCATCCCACACTTAAAAGAGCACTGGATCAACTGCGTCAGACACTTCTTCAGGGAAACGATGAGATTGCCCAACTGAAAGCCTGGGAGTTCCAGGACTTGGGTCTCCAGGCCGCCGCTGCAGTTGCCGAAATTCAGGGAGATGAAACTCTGCAAATACTTCAGTACACTGCCCACAATTTCCCAATGTTAGCCAGAACTTTGCTGGCCCATAAAGTTACAGACGGCTTGAGGGCGGAGGTTAAGCACAACACGGAAGCATTTGGACGAAGCTTGAATGTCGCGCCTCCTGATGGTGCCCTCTTCATCAACGGACTGTTCTTCGATGCAGACACCATGGATCTGTATTCGCTGATCGAGACACTGCGTTCGGAGATGCGTGTTCTCGAGAGCCTGCACAGCAATAATGTGAGGGGTAACCTAGCCAGTTCATTGCTTGCCCTGGATCTTACGGCCTCTAGCAAAAAGGAATTCGCCATCGATATCCGGGACACTGCTGTGCAGTGGGTTAACGACATTGAGAACGATGCCCACTACAAAAGATGGCCCTCGTCTGTAATGGATCTGCTGCGCCCAACGTTTCCTGGCATGCTGAGAAACATCCGAAAGAATGTGTTCAATCTGGTTTTGGTGGTAGATGCACTGCAGCCCACAGCTAGGAGTGTAATTAAACTGTCCGAATCGTTCGTCATTCATCAAGCTCCCATCCGCTTGGGCTTGGTGTTCGATGCGAGGGATGCCAGCACGGATAACCTTGCGGATTATATAGCCATCACTTGTGCCTTCAACTATGTGAGCCAGAAAAAAGACGCCCGAGCTGCATTGAGTTTCCTTACTGATGTCTATGCGGCAGTGGGGGAGACCAAGGTGGTCACGAAAAAGGATATAGTGAAGCAACTCACGAAGGAGTTCAGTACCCTCAGCACTGACAAAGCTGAGGAGTTCCTGGAGGAGGATTCGACCTACGACTATGGCAGGGAGCTGGCAGCGGAGTTCATACAGCGGTTGGGTTTCGGAGACAAGGGTCAGCCACAGGCTCTGCTGAACGGTGTTCCCATGCCCAGTAATGTTGTAACCGCAGATAGTGACTTTGAGGAAGCCATTTTCACCGAGATCATGACCCACACAACCAACCTGCAAAAGGCCGTGTACAAGGGAGAAATGACGGACAGCGATGTGGCCATTGACTATCTGATGAATCAGCCTCATGTCATGCCCAGATTGAATCAGAGAATTCTCAGCCAGGAGGATGTTAAATATCTGGACATTAATGGTGTGGCCTACAAGAATCTAGGTAATGTAGGAGCTTTAAATCGCTTGTCGAATCGGGATATGACCGCCACTTTGATGGAGAATCTTAAATACTTTGGTGGCAAGAAGTCTACGGAACTTATAGGCCGCTCATCGCTGCAGTTCCTTACTATTTGGGTGTTCGCCGATTTGGAGACTGAACAGGGACGAGCTCTGCTAACCCATGCTTTGGAATATGTACAGAGCGGCGAGAGTGTGCGTCTGGCTTTTATTCCGAATACCGAAAGCGCTTCCGGATCTGACAAAAAGAATCTAAATCGCCTGGTTTGGGCTGCCATGCAAAGTCTTCCACCAATTCAAGCCACGGAGCAGGTTCTCAAGTGGCTGAAGAAACCAAAAGAAAAGATTGAGATACCTTCACAGTTGGAAGATATTCTTGGTTCCACGGAACTGCACTTAAAGATGTTGAGAGTATATTCCCAGCGTGTGCTGGGTCTGAATAAATCTCAGCGTCTGGTCATCGGTAATGGAAGGCTGTATGGCCCGCTGTCCTCGGAGGAAACCTTCGATAGCGCTGACTTCGCTTTGTTGGCCAGGTTTAGTTCCTTGCAGTATGGCGACAAGGTCCGCCAGGTATTAAAGGAGTCTGCTCAAGATGTCAGTGAGGAATTCACAAGCGATACATTGCTCAAGCTATACGCAAGCTTGCTCCCCAGACAAACTAAAACTCGTTTCAAGCTACCTACGGACTTGAAAACCGATCACTCTGTTGTGAAACTGCCGCCCAAACAGGAGAAACTCCCTCATTTTGATATTGCCGCCGTTTTGGATCCCGCCTCTCGTGCAGCACAAAAACTAACGCCTATTCTCATTTTGCTCCGTCAAGTGTTGAACTGCCAACTAAATCTATATCTGATCCCCGTGCCCCAGCACAGCGATATGCCCGTAAAGAACTTCTACAGATATGTTGTGGAACCAGAAGTACAATTCGAAGTGAGTGGCGGAAGATCCGACGGTCCCTTGGCCAAATTCAGTGGATTGCCTGCCAACCCTCTGTTGACCCAGCAGCTGCAGGTTCCCGAAAACTGGTTGGTTGAAGCCGTACGAGCAGTTTACGATTTGGATAACATTAAGTTGACCGATATTGGTGGACCCGTGCACAGCGAATTCGATTTAGAGTACCTGCTCTTGGAGGGTCACTGTTTTGATGCTGCCAGTGGAGCTCCTCCCAGAGGATTACAGTTGGTCTTGGGTACCCAGAGTCAGCCCACTCTTGTAGACACAATTGTATGGCTAATTTGGGTTACTTCCAATTGAAGGCCAATCCTGGAGCTTGGTCACTACGGCTGCGTGATGGAAAATCCGCGGATATTTATGCTATAAGTCACATTGAAGGACCTAATACCCATCACACCGCTGGTTCATCTGAAGTACAGGTGCTGATAACCTCTCTGCGATCCCATGTCGTTAAGTTGAGGGTATCCAAAAAGCCAGGGATGCAGCAGGCGGAACTCCTGGCAGATGACAACGAGCAGGCGGCTCAATCAGGCATTTGGAACAGCATCGCCAGCAGTTTTGGCGGCAGCAACACTAACCAGCCAGCGCCTGATGAGGATGCGGAAACCATTAACATTTTCTCGGTGGCATCGGGACATCTCTACGAACGCCTGCTGAGGATCATGATGGTTTCGCTGCTGAAACACACAAAGTCTCCCGTAAAGTTTTGGTTCTTAAAGAACTACCTCTCCCCGCAGTTTACCGACTTCCTGCCTCACATGGCCAGTGAGTACAACTTCCAATATGAGTTGGTACAATACAAGTGGCCACGTTGGCTTCATCAGCAAACCGAGAAACAGCGGACCATTTGGGGATACAAGATCCTCTTCCTGGATGTGCTCTTCCCGCTGAATGTTAGAAAAATCATTTTGTGGATGCCGATGCCATAGTGAGAACTGATATCAAGGAACTGTACGACCTCGACCTCGGAGGAGCGCCCTATGCCTACACGCCCTTCTGCGATTCCCGCAAGGAGATGGAGGGCTTCCGCTTCTGGAAACAAGGATACTGGCGAAGCCATCTGATGGGCAGGCGTTACCACATTTCCGCTTTGTATGTGGTGGACTTGAAGAGATTCCGCAAGATTGCAGCAGGAGATCGGCTGAGAGGCCAATACCAGGCCCTAAGCCAGGATCCGAACAGCTTGTCCAATCTGGACCAGGATTTGCCCAACAACATGATCCACCAGGTGGCCATCAAATCTCTGCCCGATGATTGGCTATGGTGTCAGACGTGGTGCAGCGACAGCAACTTCAAGAGTGCCAAGGTGATCGATTTGTGCAACAACCCACAGACCAAGGAGGCCAAACTCACGGCCGCCCAGAGGATTGTGCCCGAGTGGAAGGACTACGACGCAGAACTGAAGACCCTGATGGCTCGGATCGAGGATCACGAGAATTCGCATGGCAGGGACTCGGCTGTTGATGATTCAGTTGACGATTCGGTGGAGGTCACTACTGTGACGCCTTCTCATGAACCTAAACACGGCGAGCTGTGATCAACGCGTAGTTAAATCAACTTGTTTAGTGAATTTAAGTCAGATATCGATGGATACACACTTGATTACTTAGCTAAGACCCATCCCCCAACATTGCGACTAAACATATTTGTACATTTTAATTAGAACTTAATGCGATTGATAACGTAAAAAGAAAAACAGCTCACTAAAGTCTGAAATGTTCTTTTAACTCGATTTCAAAAGATTTTCTTGTCTTGCATTCCAAGAGCTATGGCCACTAATTAAATTAAGCTGAAGTTCAATGTCATTAAACTATATACACAAAGAAGGCGTCCTTAAGTTGAAAAGTTTTTCAAATGTATTAAAAGTTGAAGTCAATAGAAATTAAATTCAAAGTATTTTATTTACCATTTATTTGGGTTGGTCAGGCATCTTCTTGCTGAAAAAGCTTTGACGTCTCATTATGTTAGGTGGCAACGCCAATTTTAAATAAAATGTACGAAATTGTATATATATACTTTATTTCTTGTAATATTTCAAATTATTTTTTTATTCTCTGGCGTTTGTATCTACATAAAGAAATTATTTAATAGTTTTAATATAATGCTGCTCTACTTTATTGTTTAGCTCTTAGTATGAAATAGTATATTATTTTAGCAATTTAGTAATAAATTTTCATTTGCTATTTGTAAGGCAGACAGTGCAGTCCAAAGAAGTGGATCTTTTTCATATTTATCATTTAGTTTGATCTGCTTCTCGGTTGACGTTCATTTGTATTTTAAATATATTTCCTCAGCATTTGCGTTAACTTTGTATTCCCATTAGTTTAGTTTAGCGTGTCTAATATATAGTTTAAAAATTTTTTCTCCACTTCATTTTAGATCTAGCTCTGAGTGTAGTATACGATAGTTAATTAAAGCTTTCATTTTATTCAATTTGCTCAATATGTTAGTTTTATATGTTTTGGTTCAGACTACGCAATTGGTTTCTATTCACTTTGAACTAGAATCATAAGTGTTTAAGGGAAATATATAGTTAACATATTGATTAGGGATCGCTTCTCGATTAAATTATATAAAAAATGCGGCTGTCAAAAGGATTTTCCTTGTCAGTTTGAAAGTTGTGTATATTTTATGTGTATTGTATCTGTATCTGGTGTATCTTGCGCTCCTCTTACTGGCTAAGAATTGACGAAACTACAAAATTAGACAGTTCGCTTTTGTATCTGTATCTGTAGTCTTTGTTATCATCAGTTTAAAATGGCATAGGCATATTAAATGAATGCCTCCCAGTTTCTTGAGTTCGATTCGTTGTTGATTTCTGTAAAATTATTGCTTTAATCCAGGTGCTTATACATATCCTCCAGTTGCGGCTTGAAATAGCTCTTTAATTGCGGTCTCTTGGCTTTGAATGTGGGCGTCAGCAGTCCGTTTTGCACCGAGAATGGATCCGGATGCAAATAGACATCTTTTACCTAGAATGATTTATACCAAATATTATTTGAGCTCCGTAATGCAAGGGCTTATCGACCCACCTGTTCGAATGACTTGAGTCCACTCTGCTTGCCCCAGTTGAGCATGTCGTTCATGATCAGTTCCTTGACATTCTTATTGTTGCACAGGACGGAGAGTGTGCCGCGTACATTGTTCTCCGTGGCCCATTGCTTCAGTACATCGGTATCAGGTACAACAACAGCGATAATGCAGCTCTGAAGGAGTAAGAAAAATATAAAAGTATATTTTTATGATTTAACATTTTTTTTAAATATATTATATTTATATTGCATATTAACAGCTTAAGCAGAAAATATTATGCTTACATATTTTTTTTAATTGTCGTTTGGTTTGTAAAAAACAATTGAGAACGAATAAAACCGAGATAGTTCTTCTAAGTTTAAGAATTTGACTTCTCACTTTTTCTTCTCGATATTGAGACGAAAGCGATGTCGATTTTAGTTTTCCGAGTCAAAAGCAATCTCGGTTTTAAGGTTGTTCAAGAAAGACGTGAGGGAAGGACTTAGATAAAATAAGAGTGAGAGGGGAGATACCATACATTCAAGACCACACATTCTCAAAAGCCATTCGCAAACCGAGAAGACTTCGATCTCATTCAGGAGAATTTGAGTATGAATCCATCTTAACTCACATCGAAAATCTAAAATACTGAAATGAGAACGTTAAGAACGGTTTTTTCCCTGAGTGTAGGTATTATTACATAAATATTTATTAAACTTTTAAAAAAAGTTTCTTAGGAATTTAAATAGTTACCAAAAAATAAATATTTTTTACGGCAAGAAACCCAGTCTTTTCTACCATTATTTCGTAAATGGTAATGCTTACCCTCTCTATAAATTCTCTTAAAAATAGTAATCACAAACTCACCTTTAAGCTCTCTCCATAGACATAGACTTGATTTACGTATTGGCTTAGCGTGTATATGTTCTCAATTTTCTCGGGCACTATGTACTCGCCCTGACTGAGCTTGAAGATGTGCTTGCGGCGATCGATGATCCTCAGGGTTCCGTTTGGAAGCCACATGCCCACGTCGCCGGTGTGATGCCAGCCCTCCGAGTCAATGGCCTCCGCCGTCTTCTCCGGATCCTTATAGTAACTAAATAAATAACATTTATTAATTTACAGTTTTACAGCGGTATTTAGTATCCCTACCCATGGAAAACATTCGATCCTCGCACACACACCTCCCCCGTATTTTGATTGGCAAAGTACTCCATCTCTGGCACGTCCACCAGTTTCACAGCGTTGCAGGACACTGGTGGTCCCACATGGTTAGGCACATGATCACCCTGAACGGTGAGGGTTATGGCCCCCGTGCACTCCGTCTGGCCATATCCCTCGAGCACCAAACAACCCAGGGCACAGCGCATGAAGGTCAGCACATTGCCTGCCAGTGGAGCCGAGCCGACGACCATCAGACGAAGATTTCCGCCGAAGGCCTGATGCACCTTCTTAAAGACCAGCTTGTCCCAGCAGCCGTTCCTCCGCAGCACACCCCTGGCGATCTCCTTCTCCTTGGCCCGCATGGCCATGTTGAAGAGGCCTCTCTTCAACCCAGAGGAGGAAATATCACTCTGGATCTTATCGTAGACTCGGTTCAAAGGCGAGGCACTGCCGGCATTACGGTCGGCTTCAGCATCTTCAGATCGTTAGTCAGTTCCTTGATGTCCCCGGAATAGAAGCCCACACAGCCGCCCACGTAGTACATTCCGTTCTCGCAGCACCGCTCGAACATGTGGGCCAAGGGCAGGAAGGAGACCATCACGTCTCCCGCCCGAATGCGATGGTCGCCCATCTGAAGGATCACAGAACAAACGCCGGCCACCACGTTGCCGTGGGTGAGCATCACACCCTTGGGATTGCCCGTCGTGCCGGACGTATAGCACACCGTGCACAGATCCTCCGCCGTCGGAGCGACCTCCGGGTGATTGCCCTTGGCGCCCAGTTTCTCCACGTCTATGAAGGAGAATATCTGAATGCCCCTACTGCGGGCTCGCTCCAAGGTCGTCTGGCGGATGGGCTTGATGGCCACTATGATCTTCAGACTGCGCGGCGCCTTTTCCAGCAGCATGGCCGCCTTGCCATCGTCCTCCACCACCACGATGGCCATGTCCGTCTGGCGAATGATGAAGGCACAGGCATCGGGACCCAGAGTGTCGTAAAGTGGGACCACCACCAAGGAGAACGAGTAGCAGCCCTGCTCGTACAGGATCCACTCCGGTCGGTTCTGGGAGTAAATTCCAATCAGCTGTTTGGGCCGGGCTCCCAGCGCCAGCATTCCGGCCCCGAAGTTCTTGGCGCGCAGCAGGGCCTCGTCATAGTTGATCCACTATAGAAAAGTTTGTCGTTTTTTAGATTAAAATGTATTCTAAAAGTCAAGATATCAATAGTCCTCTTAAATAAATCTTTATAAGACTCTTTGTAGTTTAGAAATTACGGATATATGTTAAAAATTAAATTTTTTGTAAACTTTTAAGAAGAATAATATACATATCATTGGATCCGATTTTAGTTTTGTACTTTCACATTTTTAATCGAAATTTAAGTTTTAATCATTTTTAAAAAGTAAGAGTCGCTTTTAAAACTTCAAAATTCCTTTTTTAGTACGCGGAATGCTTTTTTGTATTTATACAGATCTATTTAGTAGTTATTGACCAGATTTAATGAATCTTTATTATTCCTTAACATCTCAGAGTTTTTATCTCACCTGGTATGGGGATGTCAGGGTTTCGCGCCAACCGAGACATGGTCCATTGTTGGAGGCGTAGGCTCCCTCGCGGAACGTCTGGTACAGGGTGCGGACGTTCTCTGTGATGTAGGACACAAACTTTCCATTCTTCGACTCCTTGTAGAATTTGGAGACGTGTATTTGTTCTGGACCCTGCAATGCGAGTGAAGTGACCCCAAAAGAAACAGAGAAATCGAGGACATGCAATGAGTGAGAGACGTTGATAGAGATATTGCGGTACAGTTCAATGGAACAGTATATATACAATTAGAGATCAATGGAGTAAGTGGTGCAGAACTTGGTTGGGATACTACAATTATATGTGTGTAATTTTGTGAATTGCTTGTCTTGAGCTTAAAAACTTTTCAGTCTAAAGGACAATACTTATTGGCAGAGCTTTTAGTTAAAGAATATTTCCCAAGGAGAAATCTGTCTCTTAGAAATGTCAGAACTATTCACTTTTCAGAAAGGATTATCAAAATTTTAAAGATTTATTTTATAGCTTTGTATGCTATCATTTATTCAGAAAACCTCTTTTTGAATAAGCTAAGTCCATTTCGCGACGTGTGGGTTTATTTTTGGCTTCTCGTACAATAAATCAAAGTCAACTGTTAGATTAAAATCAATAACCATTTAAATTTATATACGTAGTCGATCGCTATGATGTATCGTTTATTTTGGGGTAGAGACTTAAACCCATCACTCGGCGGGATTTCATTTGGGCGCCTGAGAGCATAGTGGTAGCGCCATAGAGCACGTCCTTAATGGTAAACAGCTGCGAAAGAAATTACCGCAATGGCCAAAAGTGTTGATGTACGAGAACGAATATCAAAATACGCTACGATGGGGGAATATTTTTAGGGGGTTCTGGGACGGGGATCCCGAAAGTTAGTTTGTTTGTTTTTGCTGGCTGATTTTAATGAGCAAAATGCAAATGTATTTTCAATAATAATTGTTTTCCACAGATTAAAGTGCTTTCCAAATTAATTTTTGTTTATATTCCATTAATGACGCAAGTCGGAGGGGGAAAAAGTTAATTTTAGGAGCATACCCCGAGGGGCACATGAGGCCTACCCTGTGGTGAATATCTAGACGATGATCATATATGATCTAGCCCACGAAATGTAAGAGAAGGTAAACAAAAAAAAAGAAGCAAAATAAAGTTCATATTAGTTACTGCTTAGTTAACCTGGGGTTAGGGAGTTACATATTTCTTGTTTTCAAGGAAATTCCTCCTTGTTAGGGTTACCTTGAGCACATCGCTCTGATTGCTTAGCTCGATGGGCACTCGTATACTGG